ACATTCATCGTATATGACAATTGATATACATAGGTTGTAGAAGTTTCATTCTTATATTAAGATTTTATCAAAGTTTGGTCCAACTGTCGAATCAAATGAGGATGGCAGAATAATAAAACGAGCCTCCTATTGTTTCTCGTTGTGATATCGTAAGGTGCCCCTATGTATTTTTCACGTTTTATGGCATCAACCTTAAAATTGAACTCAAATTGGACATGCCGTTGTTCGAGGCGTCATAGAAACACTTAAGCTCATTCATATTGACATTTTGATGTGTGTGATAATAATTTTGTTCACCTGCGTGTTTTTTTATTTTTTATGTAAGAGTGTCTTTTGTGTTCTCACTTCTGCCGGAATCATAAATAAAGCTTCCCCATATAAACTGCGCCCTCAATACATCACATAAAGTGGGTTTGGGGAGGGGGGAGGGGGGGGGGTCTGTATTGTTGTGAACTGGCGACATTGTCATTAAAGGCGGTTAAACACAGAACTTATACAAATAAACATCACCAATCTGTCACAATTTGTCTGTAGATGTAGACCAGACTTATGCCAGATGACTGTCTGCCCACCCGTGTGTCATAGTCAGTTTTTGACATCGGACATGAGCAAAACATAACACCATTGACAATTATCTCGGTAGGAGAGATGTCCACCACCCGATATGTACATACGCATGTGTCTTGTACCATAGTAGATATATCATAGAAACAAGAGGCGGGTTTTAAACTGATATTTTCCATTAGAATATCAGCTAATTAGACATAGGAATTATGAATCATTATTGCGATTTCAACGCTCTTTGCTTGCTATACAATAGCGCCCACTTTAGTACAGTTCATAAAGTTAAAATAATAATATTCAATATTCTTAACGTCATTAAATTTCCTAAGAGAATGTCTCGGATAACATGAAAAATCATCATTCAATCATCAACTTGTATCTAATATACAAATCAAGCTACATGTGTTTGATTCTTAACATGTCATAATTTACCTGCCAAATTATCTTTACATACTGAAAGGATTTATAACGATAAATAATGTATTATCATATTAAATTAAATTCATGTACAATAGTGCCTTGAAATTCAATACGAATTTGCTTGATTTAATTAAAAGAACGCAAAAGCGTGTTATGCTGACAAAAGGTCAACAATAGGACCAACTGGCAATTTTTCAATTGATCCCAACAACGCTTTACAGTGTGACGGGACCTTGTGAATCATAGACCGCTTAGTGTATTATTATAACAGAGAGTTATGAGAAGTCTTGTAAACTTGATATATTATGTTGAAGGCTGGTATATGGTGTCGTAAGTTGTACTATTGTGTGGTAGTTTGGTATATTGTGCGACATTCTGGTATATTGTGTGGAAGGCTGGTATATCGTATGGTAGTTGTACTATTGTGTGGTAGATTGGTATATTGTGCGACGTTCTGGTATATTGTGTGGAAGGCTGGTATACGGTGTGGTAAGTTGTCCTATTGTGTGGTAGTTTGGTATATTGTGCGACGTTCTGGTATATTGTGTGGAAGGTTGGTATATGGTGTGGTAAGTTGTACTATTGTGGGGTAGATTGGTATATTGTGCGACATTCTGGTATATGGTGTGGAAGGCTGGTATATGGTTTGGTAAGTTGTACTATTGTGTGGTAGATTGGTATATTGTGCGACGTTCTGGTATATTGTGTAGAAGGCTGGTATACGGTGTGGTAAGTTGTACTATTGTGTGGTAGTTTAGTATATTGTGCGACATTCTGGTATATTGTGTGGAAGGCTGGTATATGGTGTGGTAAGTTGTGCTATTGTGTGGTAGTTTGGTATATTGTGCGACGTTCTGGTATATGGCGTGGAAGGCTGGTATATGGTGTGGTAAGTTGTGCTATTGTGTGGTAGTTTGGTATATTGTGCGACATTATGGTATATTGTGTTGAAGGCTGGTATATGGTGTGGTAAGTTGTACTATTATGTGGTAGTTTGGTATATTGTGCGACATTCTTGTATATGGTGTGGAAGGCTGGTATATGGTGTGGTAAGTTGTGCTATTGTGTGGTAGTTTGGTATATTGTGCGACATTCTGGGATATGGTGTGGAAGGCTGGTATATGGTGTGGGAAGTTGTACTATTGTATGGTAGTTTGGTATATTGTGCGACGTTCTGGTATATGGCGTGGAAGGCTGGTATATGGTGTGGTAAGTTGTGCTATTGTATGGTAGTTTGGTATATTGTGCGACGTTCTGGTATATTGTGTAGAAGGCTGGTATACGGTGTGGTAAGTTGTACTATTGTGTGGTAGTTTAGTACATTGTGCGACATTCTGGTATATTGTGTGGAAGGCTGGTATATGGGGTGGTAAGTTGTACTATTGTGGGGTAGATTGGTATATTGTGCGACATTCTGGTATATGGTGTGGAAGGCTTGTATATGGTGTGGTAAGTTGTACTATTGTGTGGTAGTTTAGTACATTGTGCGACATTCTGGTATATTGTGTGGAAGGCTGGTATATGGGGTGGTAAGTTGTACTATTGTGTGGTAGTTTGGTATACTGTGCGACGTTCTGGTATATTGTGTGGAAGGCTGGTATACGGTGTGGTAAGTTGTCCTATTGTGTGGTAGTTTGGTATATTGTGCGACATTATGGTATATTGTGTTGAAGGCTGGTATATGGTGTGGTAAGTTGTACGATTGGGTGGTAGTTTGGTATATTGTGCGACGTTCTGGTATATGGCGTGGAAGGCTGGTATATGGTGTGGTAAGTTGTGCTATTGTATGGTAGTTTGGTATATTGTGCGACGTTCTGGTATATTGTGTGGAAGGTTGGTATATGGTGTGGTAAGTTGTACTATTGTGTGGTAGTTTGGTATACTGTGCGACGTTCTGGTATATGGTGTGGAAGGCTGGTATAGTGTGTGGTAAGTTGTACTATTGTGTGATAGTTTGGTATATTGTGCGACATTCTGGTATATGGTGTGGAAGGCTGGTATATGGTGTGGTAAGTTGTACTATTGTGTGGTAGTTTAGTACATTGTGCGACATTCTGGTATATTGTGTGGAAGGCTGGTATATCGTATGGTAGTTGTACTATTGTGTGGTAGATTGGTATATTGTACGACGTTCTGGTATATTGTGTGGAAGGCCGGTATATCGTATGGTAAGTTGTACTATTGTGTGGTAGATTGGTATATTGTGCGTTATTCTGGTATATTGTGTGGAAGGCTGGTATATGGTGTGGTAAGTTGTAATATTGTGTGGTAGTTTGGTATATTGTGCGACGTTCTGGTATATTGTGTGGAAGGCTGGTATATGGTGTGGTAACCTGTAATATTATATGTTACACATGTATTTTGGTGTATCCTGTGATAAGCTGGTATATTGTGTGGTTGTTTGGTATATCGTGTGGTGACTAGCTGGTAAATTGTGTGGTAGTCTGATGTGTTAGTGTGGTAGGTTGTGTGGTTATTTGACGATATTCTGCTGTATTCTGTGATAGACTGGTATGGTATATAGCAGTCTGGTTATTGATATGTGGGCTGGCATGTTTTGTGGTAGGCTGGTACGTTATTTGGTAGTCAAGTGTATTTTGTGGTAGGCTGGTATAGTACGTGGTAGTCTTGTATGCTAAATGGTAGTTTGTGATATTTTGTGGCAGTGTGGTATGTTGTGTGGTAGTGTGGTAGGGTACATTGTACATGGTAGTCTGGTGTGTTATGTGGTACACTAGTATGTTGTGTGGTAGTGTGGTATGTTGTGTGGTAGTGTGGTAGGGTACATTGTACATGGTAGTCTGGTGTGTTTTGTGGTACACTGGTATATTGTGTAGTAGCGTGTCTTATTGTGTAGCAGAGACTAGTATTCATTGAAATAAATTTAGTCATCATCGTAGCTTTTAAGCAGAAAAGAGAAAAGAGTTTTTGAAGATGTAATAAGTTGAGTGCCCGGTTAAGTATTTTGCTGGCCGTTGCCTAGCACATGCACGTGTGTTTATGCCTATGTCACGTGTTGATGAGGACGCTGTTGCAGCAGCTTATGTCAACGTGCTTCTGTTGACCATTAGCGAACAATACACCTTTCATCACGTTACTCGATATTTTATATTCGCTCGATACAGGTTAAGTCAGAGTAAATATTTACTAATAAACCTTCTCTGGTGCTTATAATGTGCCCTAGAGTTAATATTACAACACATGTTTTTGTCGAAATTAACAAGCAAACCATTGTAAACACCGTCAGTAACTTGGTTATGGTGACCTTGACCTTATAACATACCAATAGTCGATACAGTAGGACTACCTAGCTACGGCTGCTGACGGATGTGTTTACCTCCCCATTCAGGTAATGACAGCGGGTGATCTAGATCACGTGTACTCTTATATCGATGCAATGATTGAAGCGCTTAATGACCTTGTTAGATGATAAGTCGCAATTATGAAAAGCTTTGGGACATGCTTTATCACTGTTTCCCTTTTGCGTTTAATTGGCTTTTAATTGGCTTTTAATTGGCTTTTAATTGGCTTTTATTTTTTTCCCATAATTTTCGTCGAAGCTTACACAGACACACCTTCTAGAATAAGGAGTTGCGTAAAGTGCATCAAACATAAATTTGAATTGCAAAATTACATTTTGATCATAAAGAATAATTGCCCAGATGTCGGACCTTAAAATAATGTCCAATGAAACTATTTCTACGAGTGTCCAAACACTCATCAATTTTGTTTTGAGTAAGATAATAGAATCATCCCCGATTTCAAATCAAGAGCAATTTCATAACCTGTATTGTTGTATTGAGGTGTTCCGAATCCCTCCATATTCAATATGACTTATTGAACCAAATGAATAACATGTTACATTTCTTTGTCAAACATTTTTTTTACATTTTCTCTAAAAGTATTTAAACGAATGAATCACTATTTAATCTTCGAATATGGCATTGTAACGTTGTATCCAAAACTCATTAAATATTGATTTAGAAACGTTAACAAAATAAGAATTCTTTACTTACCATTATCGATACCTTCTTAAGTGCTCGCTGTTGGTCGTATTTCGGCAAAGTTGTTTTGTGTATAGAACTTCTCACGGCGTCAAGGTTCCTTTTCCTCTCGGTAAGGAATACTTCTTTAAAAGATTCTCCCAGGAGGGTCACAGTGGTCTTTGAAAAAAGATTACTTTTATTAGTTGTGCCTTAGTAACAATCACAGCCAAATCAAGAGTTTTCGAGTCAGTCCTTGACTATGCACTGTATGTGTTTGTTTTCCGTGACACGACGCGGAAACGTTGGAGTGGACGGGATTGACATTGATCCATACAATGTTGTAAAGTGACAATGAGATCCGGGTGTAAAACATGTATAAAAAGTGCTCCTGTGCCAAGTTTAAATTCCTAAAATCCAACGTATTTTCCTTTAAATATATAGTCATCCTCCTGACACAGTTTTTGTATTTGCTGTTAGAACCAGTAGTGATTCTGTTAATATCAGTGCTGGTTTAGTATTGATTTAAATTAAATCAAGCTCATTCTGTTTGAAAATCATATTTTCCATTTCAAACGCATTTTTGTTTTTAAAATAATGTCAAACGCCAACAGTCCACGTTTGTCTTCGCTGTCTCTACATCATTTGCACTACAGATGTAAACAATCCGTGTAGCCCCTAATGTAAGCTGATCCAAACGTACTGGACAGCGCTGTAAACTCCAGAGTCGCTACTCACTGCAGTATGTGTGTTCCGGGTGAAGTAAACAGTCACTGTAAAACAACGAAAACATATATCGCAGTCGTATATATTCTCACCAACTTTCTGCCAAAAGTGCATGTCTCGATTCCTATAATAACTTTATGCGACTGTGATACGTTCAACAAACAGATTCAAATATATTTAAGTTAAAATATTCCTATCCTTTTTTTCTCGTTATTTTTAAGAATGCATACAAACAGCAGGCACACTAGTGTAGAACATTAGCGTCCTGACCAACGACTCGTTTGGAATTTGGTAACAATAGAAGTCGTTGTTGAAACGCACAATAAGGAGCGTTAACAAGTCTTCAGTGTCATTGTCTTCCTCCGACACAGAAAGTGACAACACTTGTATCCGGTTACACAGATCGGTGCACTCTTTGTTGTTTTTCGTAACTTCAATTCAGGCTGATAATACCCTTAAATGATATATTGATTGTGCACCAAACAACCCTGATCTGTTACATTCAGAGTTGTATATACTATCTTCGACTTCAAAGGTCGTATATGATGTTAAAGTAATTTAAGCTGAAATATCAACAATGTAGGTACGTAATTTAGACCTACCTGAGATTTTCTCGCCTGGGAGATTATATTTCACCATAACCTTTCTCCTGATAGACAAAACACAATAGGTGTTGATACAAGGGATATCTGGTTCTTAATTGTTATACTTACGTACGTAAAGATATGTTATTCCGTCTAGAACACATACTGAAACTGTGGCTTGGTGAAGTAAAAATCGTTTGTCCTGTTCAAACTATTCTGTCCTGGGAATACATATACCATTGTCCTCATCAAGAAGTCACGCTGTCCCTAAACAATGCAATAAAGAAAGGTCGATTGCTGTTTTTCGAATCGTTTTTTTCCCAGACACACTCTCATTGGTTAACACAAATCATTAGCGTTTTGTGACAGGTGTGATAATGACTTTTATTTCATTTGAAGGTCATTTTAGTAGATAGTCCATTGGAACCTGTTTTCGCAACCTTGGATAAATCATAGTAGTTCAACATTTTATCCTGTACATGGAACTATGAATATGACGTCATAGTTAGCACAACTCACACGCTAACTAACCTGTATTGTATTGTTTAGTTCTGTATCCGGTTATAACATCTCACGGTCTCCAGGAACACAGATATTCCAAGAACACATGCAGCTCTCGTTATAATCCTCCGGACGCCCCGCTTATCAATGGAGCACACATTGATGAAGAGGATTATAATGAATCAATATGATCATTGGCCATGTTGATTGCACAGTGTAATGTTAGGACAGTACAACACGCTCTAACACTAATTAATATCGATACATGGTGTGTAATTTGATGTTTATTGTTTAAGTATAGTGTGTTTATTGAATATCAATCAGCTACTTCCGGTTCTCTTGGGTGCAAAATTGTGTCCGAGTCGATTTATTGACAGAACACATTTATAGGTTCCGGTTCATCCCCCTTGGTTACTCGGCTGTTTCCATTATGCCAATAGCTGTTGTAACTAAGGTTTCACAATACTTAATAACACCGTAACTGATGTTTTGTCAATAACTAAGGCTCGGTCACACAAACGCTCTTGTTCAACCTTGATCATAACCACTGCTAAAAAGACAATACTGTATAAGACTGACAGTGATTTCAAAGTTATTTATTAATTTGTTAAACGATTTAACAGAGAAAGCGACCCATATATAAACTCAACATAAAAATGCAATTGTGTACCATTCAGAATTAATAATGATCTTTAATAACGAAAATATTGTTCGTAACCTATTTATCGTTCTGCTTAAGCATAAAAGACCGTTACCATTTGAAAACAAAATCCCCATTCCCTAAATTCATAATTAAAATCAACGTTAGTTCATTGCAGACATAACATGTATGTATATTTATGTGTTTAACTAACGGTGTTGAAATAATGGAAGAGTAGGTTGAAAAAACATGCATATTTGCATCCAATGACAGTGTGTCGTGGAATCAGCTGCCAGCCTGGCAATATTTTCTTTCCAAGAAATGTTTCAAAGTATTTTGCACAGTTTTGGATTATGTTAAAAACAGAAAGGGTGAACCTATCCATTGTTTCCTTAAACATGTTATGTTCACCTAAGACCGAAATTTAGTCCTCAAAATTAAGAAGCGAATCGTTTGCGAATAATGTAGTGTACTGTTTCTGGCATTGAAAGTTGTGGAAGTAAATATCGATAAAGTGTTATTCTATGTAAGTGCGTAGGAGAATTTAACAACAAAATCAACCGGTCATAATCAGATAAACAGGCCGGTGTTTCGTAACTGAAAAGTAACCGAGAGGGGTGATTCATTTCACAGTCCAGAAAGCAATAAATTAAATTTTACACATATCTATTTCGCGCTTTAGCAGTTCACCCGCACTGAGTATGAACAAAACCCGATTGTAGCTACAGCACCTGACTAAAGTTGAACTATCGACATCGTAACCATAACAAAAAACATAATCCGTTTACCGATAGACGAATAACATGCCATATGACAACCTTAGGTAGGTTGAGATTTAGGCATGCAATCCTATATCTCATACATATATTCCGTCTTTGCATATTGCAGTTATCTTCCCTTGTGAGCAGGTATTGATTGTTACGTCATTGGTTTGTGTGAGGAAATTACGTCGTTTTCTCAAAACTTGATGACGTTCCTCTCACAAACCAATGACGTAACACTCAATACCTGCTCACAAGAGAAGATAACTCTGCAATACGAAAAGACGGAATATCACGTCTCATTGCAAAAACCTGCTCAAATGCAGGAGTATGAAGATAGGAATTTTTTATGGACGCCATCATGGTTGTATTTGGAAATAGGTCCGTGAAATGCTCGTTAATATCCTAGTGATTTCGTTGTCACTACCCTGATTCTTTATTTGAGAACGTGACATTACTAAGATGAAACAGATGAACATAATGGGTGTCAACGATAAAGCAGATGACGCTAACACTTCTGGACCACCTGGTCACGGCATCGAGAAACAATCTTAGACTTTAGGTTTTGCTTAACTAATAACAGTATTGTTAATTAGACATTTTTTGTTCATAACATTACGGTCAATTAAAATGTTTAAGTTCATAACATTACGGTCAATTAACCTGTTTAGGTTCATAACATTACGGTCAATTAACCTGCTTAGGTTCATAACATTACGGCCAATTAACCTGCTTAGGTTCATAACATAACTGTAAACTTGGATTTTCTAAAAATGAAATGAATAATCTCAAAAAAAGTTCCGCTTTAGTGGGATCTCAGCAATCGTTTTGAAGGTTATTTTTACTATTGAAATACATAAATAATAATTCGTACTGCGGTGAAAAGTAACAATTTTGTTACAATAACAAAAATATCGGTTTTCCTACTGGAAAAAAAATAATCTCATACCTTTTTCCTTTGCTCTTGACCTGCTTGGTTGTAGTGTTGTTTAGGACCCTCGGTTCAATTTCTGTTTCGGACGGTCCCCCGTTGGTTATAATGTGATGCTGTACCAAGTCGGGTGTCTGTCTGACGACTGTTCATATCCGTCCTGTGATCTTTTCTCCACATGAAATACAGAAACAGAAGATCTATTTTTGTTGTAACAAGAGACTTACTCACCTATCTACCACATGTACTTAAACCATATATCGAGTGTTAACGACTGTCAGTCCCCTCGTATACCGAACAACACTCGGAGGTAATTGAATACAAAAGATATAAATGTGCGTGTAATATTGATTTTATGGCGTTACCTTATATTTAACTAAGCTAATACGGGAAATGTCATCGGTTTGTCGGTACCTCTGTCCCGCCGAGAAACCTGTGCCGTGAGGTAGACAGATATAATGTGATTGATACGTCCTAAGTACTTACCTGTGTCAAAATGACAAAATAAGACATAGTCATTATCTCAATCACGAAACAGGATTAAGAATTAGCGTGTATTGTACAAAACAGTTATAATTGGATATATCCGGACGGGTATCGTTGCACAGATAATTTTATGATTTGAAGATTTTTTTCTCTATACAGGTTACCGAGAACGTTGTATTTTAATAGATGTATATTTGAAAGTTTTTCAATAGACCAATGAATAATGTTAAGATTATAATAGACATATGGATGTTTTATAGTAAAATATTATACATATGGATGTTTTATAGTAAAATATAATACATGTCATATGGATGTTTTATAGTGTTTTATAGACATATGGAGATTATATAGCATCTTAATAGACAGTGTAATATTGAATCATATTTGAATAGATTTATGCATGCATGTATTTCATAAGTACATTGAGTATTTTAATAGACAAATCGATATTTCATAATAGTATTAAAGACATTTTGACATTTTATGGTATTTTGATAGACACGATGACATTTCTTAGTACAGTTAAGCCTCGTTATACTGCCAACATTTGTCCAGATAAAATTTGGCGTAGTGAAGAGGTTTATGGATAAGTTAGGGAAAATGTATAAAGCGATTCTTATGAGTAAGACATGTTGACATTTTATAGTGTTTCAATAGACATGTTGACATTTTATAGTGTTTCAATAGACATGTTGACATTTTATAGTGTTTCAATAGACATGTTGACATTTTATAGTGTTTCAATAGACATGTTGACATTTTATAGTGTTTCAATAGACATGTTGACATTTTATAGTGTTTCAATAGACATGTTGACATTTTATAGTGTTTCAATAGACATGTTGACATTTTATAGTGTTTCAATAGACATGTTGACATTTTATAGTGTTTCAATAGACATGTTGACATTTTATAGTGTTTCAATAGACATGTTGACATTTTATAGTGTTTCAATAGACATGTTGACATTTTATAGTGTTTCAATAGACATGTTGACATTTTTATTTATTTTTATAGACAGTTAGCTGTGCTATAGTATTTTGCTAGACATGTTTACATTTTACTTTATTTCAATAGACATATGAAGATTTTGTTTTATTTTTGTAGACAAATTGATATTTTATAGTATCTGAATTGACACACTGATCTCCTATGGTATTTTTAATGAACACAAGGATATTTTATAGTAGTGTAATAGACATGTTTATGGTTCATAACATTAATATGTTATCAAGCGAAATTAAGGATAAAAAACATGCTTTATCAGGAAATACAAACTACATGAAAGGTCCCTTCTTGAAAATTTTAATGTATCACTACAGCAGAGGTATTCGCCAAGCACTGGCCGCAAGTCGGATATTTTTCTCTTGGTACTCCGGTTATCCCCCACCTCCAAAATCTGGCACGTCCTTAAATGGCCACAGCTTTGAATTGACATAAAGCACAAACCAAATCAAACCAAGTCACTACCGAAACATATTAGTGAGACTTACTAAACCTGAATTATGCCTATCAGAGTATTAAATACTGAGGACTGTTTGTATGCTGGTAACTTGTCTAATGTAAGTAACAACACTTAAAGCAACAACTGCACTGCTATTTGAATCGAGAATACTAAATAATATCAAAGGACATGATAGCGTGTTGTATACACGTGGATATTATAGTGTTAGCGTAATAACACTAGTCAAGGTCTGCTCTGTCATATATCTAGTTAAATATCTCTTAAATTGACGTTTCGGGGTATTTATATAACATTTCATTCACTTGGTGGGGGTAATCATCACATTCCTTTCGCTCGTTATGTATAGGTAACCAGTAGACGGCACTAGATAGAGACACGGTAGATAAAGCAGGTTACCTTATGAGTATAATTTTGTCATCGTGGAATCTATGTTTTATGAGTTATACTGTCAGGAGATGTTTAAAATTTAGGTGTTATAGTGACTTCCTGGTTTGTGTCGTATCACCCCTGAACCTGTTCTCAAGCTTAAACTCCGATACCATGCCCAAGCAAAATTTCTTTGCCGATTATAGATAATAATAATTTAATAATAATAATAGTTCTCATTTTGTCAATAAAATACGAATAAACTTTTGACTATTTGACCGTGCTGTCTCACATATCTGAATACCATTTTCAAGCTGTAGACTTGACTATTTGCCCGTGTTGTCTCACAAATCTGAATTTCCTTACGTTGCCTACCTTAGTGTTAGTCATTTTATGGTAACTGCATATATTTTAAAACTTCGAAGGTGTAATCGCTTGTTTGTGTTTAACGTTTATGTTTCCATTCGTTATTTTGTCGGTGACAATCCGATATTTTGACGATGTTTAGGTCCTGCTGTGGTTGCATATCTAGCCAATCCCGGCATTGCAGCCACAACCACGAGTTTCATATGCAATAACGATCCATTGTTTCGTACCAACACTAAAGCTGGAAACAAAGGTTGTATTGATTGTTAAATTGAATATGTTTGTGATCGAGTTGCACCGCCTTTACTAACAAGTCAGTTTAAACAGTTGTTACTGACATTGTGTAACAACAGTATGGCAAACGTAATCAATACAAACGTTGTTCGTACCACCCCGAGAGCGACATGTTTGAAGTAATTGACATAAACGACTTCATGTGCCCATTTTTGTTTGTTTATTTTCTCCGTTAATTGCGTGAATATTTTAGGTTAAGTAATACCTTTGTTAGTAAGGATAGGATTTTTGTTTCAACAGTGGTGACTATTCTGACTCCGAGATTAATTGAAAGCCAGACTTCTTGAAAATAAAGTTTGTTTTCAGTGTTTAATACAGTGGAGTTTGTATGTGACTGAAACAAGGATAAAGTTATACAAGCGATACATGTACATCATACGTGTACCGTATATATATATAGGTTTCGTAATTAATAACGACAGAACGATTCAACCGAAAACAACCCTTCGTTGGATACGTAGTACTTAAATAGATATACAGTGAAAAACCTCGATATAATGCCCCTCGTTTCATTTACCACCTCGTCCACCGCCAACACATTTCAATGTTGTTGTTTTTTCTTTTCTTTTTTTAAGAAATCCTTTATACATTTTCATTAATTAATCCCTAAACTCATTTGTAACGTTAAAATGTCTCTTGATAAATAGTAGCAGTGTATCGGGTTTTTATTGTATGAGCAAAGAAGTGATAACGACAGTACAGACAAAGGAATTAGTCAAATTTTCTTTTCATATTTATCTATTTATGTTCGATGTTGTTCTCCCAACTTCAGTGGAGTTTTTTTATATACACAGATCTTTTTCATAACTACAGTACTAAGTAGTCCGTGTTTGCAAAACGTTTTTATCAACCATACATATTTACGTTCAATGCAAGCACATGAAGGATTGTGTTTAATCAATTATTTCTCTCTTGGTTTTCAACCACGTGTCAGCATTGGCACATTGGAGTCGGATTTCAACTATCGAGTTAATCAATGAATTTTACAAGGGGCTCTGGGTTCAGGTATACAGACGTACGAGAGTATAGCGTTCGTATATGATGTCTGATTCTAAACAAAATGATACTATTCATAGCATCAAATGAAAAGCAAGCATAAAATAGCGCAGACATGTATGTACGAAATGTTCCTGGTTTCGGCTCGTTGACATGCGTTTGGCTCTATACAGATATACTGTTACGGTGAACATAATAGTTTGCTTCATTGGGGTTTAATTTATATAACCACTTACCTGTACAAATTATATAAATAGCCAGCGTTTGGGTAATTGACATTGACTCATAACAATTTAAAGTAATTTAATGTCTTCTCTACAAACGTATCAATCACACTGTCGGGATTTTCGTGTTTCTGTCAGTATCACAAGCGTTGAGCTAGTTCGTTTTCGATCGCTAGGTAAATAATCAGAGGTGTCACTTTTCTGATAATTGATCACACGAAAAAGAGGTTTTGGGAAGTGTATAATATACCACCAGTGATGTTAAGTGTCGAAAAAATCATTTGAACACACACAGAAAATAATTTTTAAAATACTGACCTTTCAAACTTTTCATAATATTAACCTGTTGAATACATGGAAATTCACATAAAACTTGCATGCCACCTTTTGAGTATACGATATGTCACATCTTTGAAGTTTGTATATATTTGCCACTACAGTTATTTCAACATTTGATGAACATCTCTTTTATTTAAAGAATTAATTCAATTATAGTGGTATATTTTTAAAGACCCCTTCTAATAGACTTCTGATCAAAGAAATCTTGAAAAGTTCAAAAACTTATTTCTAAAAACATATTTGCCAAGACACATGCATTTAGGAGATATCCCTCATTCCACATTTCCATTGAGGGAGAAAGTGCGGGAAGCACGACTGAAACTGCTTGCCTCAATATATCTCTCCCTTTTTACATATCAAAATAACTCTTAAAAACATTCATTTGATTCAGACACACCTGATTTGATCACTACACACACGCTCCAGTAACTAGGAGATCATTTGACCACAGGATGTATATTTTGACTTTGTGTGAGTTTAGACTTGAATGAGGGAGTTTCGAGGGAGATTGGTAAATTTCGGTCAAAATGAGGGAGTCTCCATCCTAAATGAGGGAGTCTCCATCCTAAATGAGGGAGTCTCCCTCCTAATGAGGGAGGGTTGACAGCTATGCACATGTTTCAACATCTAGTAAACACCCATTCTACATTTTGTATTTATAGAATGAACTTGATGCCTCTGACCGTAGGGTCTCTGTCGTCAGTACCGGCTGGGCTGGTCCTTTGATTATCTTTATATATGTTATATTTTGAAGAATTATTTGTTTGTCCTAGGGTTTTTAATGGACGTGTTTTACAGTATTTTAAAAAAGACATTGACGTATTTCATCATACGGATGAACTCAAAAGGCCATTTAAACTAAGATACCTTAAAAAATATACAAACCCGATCTCGATAAAGTCGGTAAATGAATATGTGACGAGGGATGTACTTTAAATGCTGCCTTTAATATAATTGTTCTATTGATAGATTAACACTATTGACAATAGTGAGATTTTAAATGCCAATAACTTAAGTAAACATATCCTGTATTGTTAAACCAGGCGTTGTTTGATTGGTACGCCCAGTACAGATTTTGTCTTTAAGGTGTTGAATAGATTTTTCAATAACTATTTAGGCAGATATTCTCCTTAAACAGTTCAGTTAAAACGTTTGCAAATTGACAATTTCAAGATGATAATAGCGTTGTTGTATATTAATAACAGACTATAAAAAGGATTGACTCTAGATTTATTGGAAGAACATAAAAGATGATGACGCTGATCATCGATTTGACTAGAACCAATGTTAATAGCCCTTCTATGTATCGTTTTCGACTTTTCAAAAAAAAACATAAAGTTGTGTATTGATTAAAATGTTTCATTCATTGCAAAATTATGTAATCAATACAATGGTTCAGTACACTATTAAACCTGGAATGTGTTTATCGATCGATTTGTTTTGGAATGTTTCTTTAGTAATTCCAAACTCTATTACAATGATATAAATTATGAAAGTGCAGTCTAAAGGAATGTGGTTCGATATCACATTTAAAACGTTTTATTATGTATATTAATGAAAAACGGTCTACACAAATATCGATTTAACACATTGAAGTATGTTATACCTAGGTACAAAATATTTGTATAATTAACACAGGAATAATAATAATAATAACGTGTTTAGTAGGTTAGTTGTTAGCTAAACACCAAAATACGGTATTGAAGGACCATATTCTACAGCGACAAAAGCTTAACAAAGCCAGTCTCCTCCCAGGCCCCTAACAGGACTCAGACATGTATAGGCCTTACATGGTAGGTGTTCATCTAAAATATAATACAAATGTTAAGAGTTTTACATTTTCATGTTATTCAATTTTTATTCCGAACAGCTAAATAAGAAAATAACTTGAAATAAATGTAAATAAATTTGTTCTCAAATGCAAACAAAAATACATCTTTTCACAAATATGATGATCGTTCCCTTTAGAAGAAATATATTTTCATATTTTCTTAATATTTTTATTCAGAATTCTGAATAAAACAAATTTTTAAAAGTAAACTGTAATTGCCTTTTACCCATAAATTGTTTAAAGCAACTTATCTTTAACTTAGATCTATGCAATACTTGAAATAACTAACACTGTTCACGTAGTTGCATCATATAGGCAAAAATAAATCTGATAAATTTCATATCAAATCATGAAAGAAACGTCCCCAGTGTAAAAGGTCCCCAGTGTAAAAGGCTAACAACGACAACGAAAAGCCAGACAATTTGTAATAACGTTAAAAAAAACTTTATCCGTATTTTGAAGATCGTTTTAATTACGGAACATCAGGTTACATACACCTGGACGCATTGAATCTTTCCATGCTTTTGTACCTGGTCAGGCATATGTACCGGTGTGTATATATATAGGCTAATTGATTCACAATCGAACGTGTCTCAGCGAGGCTCTGACAAATCAACCCTGGATTATCTTAGAGTACTGGGGCTATATCAGGCATGACAGGTTGAGCAGGGTTAAGTCACATAGAGACGAAGGACTAGAGGTAGGTGAGATTTTAATGGTGATCTTATGTGGTCGGTATCTATATATAATAGCTAGTCGTCTGTAACACCGGCAGACAGTACTGAAGCAGATCAAATCTAACAGGGAGAAGGAATTGTTCGCTGCACCATGTCATATTTGTGGATTATATCACGACTGAAGAGGTAGGAAATACTATTCTGTATCATGTTTTGAGAAAATACTAGGCATTTACCGTCAGAGAGAACGATTGGGCAGAGGAAGGAGAGAAAGAGGGAGAGAGAGGGGGGGGGGGGGGGGGGGGGGGGGGGGGATAGATATCACCGATAGAGAGAAAGCTAAGAGATGGGTTAGAGGATAGTGATTTCTTCACTGTAATTTACAAAACGCGCTACTTAATAGTAAACTTAATTCATTACCTTGATCAATACTCACAGTAAAATATAACCATAATGCAGATTAGCAATTTACAACACTGGCCATCCGACATGAAACCATGTTTTTAATGATTCTTTGTATATTCAAACAGCTTTTGAGATTTCTTTTCTGTGTATCGACGAACCTGGTTCATGGGATAATGATGTTTCTTGAAGTCAAAATTGTGTCCAAGTGTTATAATGATGTGTTATAGTATTTTATGATAATGGTATTGATGATGTGGTATTTTTTTTATTGATGATGTGGTATTTTTTTTTATTGATGATGTGGTATTTTTTTTATTGATGATGTGGTATTTTGTGTTATGATGATGTGGTATATTGTGTTATGATGATGTGGTATATCGTGTTATGATAATGTGGTATATTGTGTATTGATGATGTGGTATATTGTGTTATGATGATGTGGTATATTGTGTTATGATGATGTGGTTTATTGTGTTCTGATGATGTGGTATATTGTGTAATGATGATGTGGTATATTGTGTTATGATGATGTGGTATATTGTGTTATGATGATGTGGTATATTGTGTTCTGATGATACGGTATATTGTGTTATGATGATGTGGTTAATTGTGTTATGATGATGTGGTATATTGTGTTATGCTGATGTCGTATATTTCAAATTGACTATGTTGTTGATTGTGTATTTATTGATGAGGTATATTTGTATTTACGATATGTTATGTTCATTAATTTTACTTCATTAATTTCACGCAAAGATGAAGTGCTAATTGATATGCTATTATTTAATGTTTTGATATTAATATATATATATAATTGTGTCACTGTCTTTGTAAAACGATAGCTTCCTATATCATACATTTCATGAAAATTTCCTTTCTTGATAGTAACAGCCTTGCTTTTCTTACCTACGGTGTCAACATGCCGTGGTTGATTCCGTATCTGGAGCTTGCTCCGAATCTCATTTACGTAGTGGATTTCAATTGCTGATGGTTAACGTAACAGAAACAGGGTTTCAAGAGTTGCAAGTTCATGAAGACGATATCCAAGTATCGTTTTCCTTGTGTGATATGATATGAAGTTGGTTGGGTTTTTTTATTATTCCCATTAGAGTTCCTTGTTGTTTTGTTGTCACTACCCCGATTCTAGCTTTGAGGGCATGACAGTCCGTGGATCTGGCCTATAGTTTACACGGCGGGTATCTGTCGTTTAAGAAGCAGAAGATATTTGCTCTTCCAGATGAAATGCCCCTTTTCTAGGGGCTTCCTGCAAATCTTATCGTTGATCTTATTTTGCCCTAGATTTATCACCACTCCGGTATTCTCTTGTTGTTTTGTTATTCATACAATAAAATCATAGAAATAGGAAAGCACTGGAATCGTACAAACAATAATTATCCACTAGTCCTCATTTGTATATTTCCAATTGAAGATTTAGGAATTAACCACAAATTGCAATGTTGTAACCTTTATAATGCATTTGCATGAAACGGTTTATTTTTTATTTTTAGTCTATCTGTGGGTTTTTTTCATTTCTGTTTAATTTTTAATTAGAAAATGTTTACCTCCTAGACGTAGGTTAGGGCCACACCCCTTTTTATCGTATTACACAGCTGAGCTTATAACGTAATGTTTGACACGTTCCTTTAAAGCTCTCATGGTGGTGATGCTTTCATCTTGACTTAACAACTGGGATATATCAATCTTCTGCAGCCAATTAATTATATTTTTTTATGTTTTAAGAAAAGTAAACTATTAGAGCACACATCTGAGTAACAAATGTTCCCTCGGATTAATAACAAGCGCGATCTTACTTTTATCATTATTTATTTATGATTTATGAATATAATAATAAAGGCAGGCCTCAAACATTGTTTAAGGGATTTGTAGATTGTATAAGGAAGTAGGCCACTTCTACCACATTACACTTTGACTAATAAGACAGAAGGTCTACATTAGTCGAGTATAGCTACAGTGTATAAGACAACCCTACAGTGTATAAGACAACCCTACAGTGTATAAGACAACCCTACAGTGTATAAGACAACCCTACAGTGTATAAGACAACCCTACAGTGTATAAGACAACCCTACAGTGTATAAGACAACCCTACAGTGTATAAGACAACCCTACAGTGTATAAGACAACCCTACAGTGTATAAGACAACCCTACAGTGTATAAGACAACCCTACAGTGTATAAGACAACCCTACAGTGTATAAGACAACCCTACAGTGTATAAGACAACCCTACAGTGTATAAGACAACCCTACAGACAACCCTGCAGTGTATAAGACAATCCTACAGCTTATAAGACAACACTACAGTGTATAAGACAACCCTCCAGTGTATAAGACAACCCTACAGTGTATAGGACAACACTACAGTGTATACGACAACCCTACAGTGTATAAGATAACCCTACATCATATAAGACAACCATACAGTGTATAAGACAACCCTACAGTGTATAAAACCACCCTACAGTGTATAAGACAACCCTACAGTGTATAAGACACCCCTACAGTGTATAAGACAACCCTGCAGTGTATAAGACAATCCTACAGATAACCCTACAGTGTATAAGACAACCCTACAGTGTATAAGACAACCCTACAGTGTATAGGACAACACTACAGTGTATAAGACAACCCTAAAGTGTATAGGACAACCTGTATAGGACAACCCTACAGTGTATAAGACAACCCTACAGTGTATAGGACAACCCCACAGTGTATAGGACAACCCTACAGTGTATAGGACAACCCTACAGTGTATAAGCCAATCCTACAGTGTATAGGACAACCCTACAGTGTATAAGAAAACCATATAATGTATAGGACAACCCTACAGTGTATACGACAACCCTACAGCGTATAAGACAACCCTACAGTGTATAAGACAACCCTAAAGTGTATAGGACAACCTGTATAGGACAACCCTACAGTGTAAAAGACAATCCTACAGTGTATAAGACAACGATATAGTGTAAAGGACAACCCTACAATGTATAGGACAACCATACAGTGTATAAGACAACCCTACAGTGTATAAGACAACCCTACAGTGTATACGACAACCCTACCGACAACCCTACAGTGTATAAGACAAACCTACAGTGTATAAGACAACACTACAGTGTGTAAGACAGCCCTACAGTGTATAAGACAGCCCTACAGTGTATAAGACAACCCTACAGTGTATAAGACAGCCCTACAGTGTATAAGACAACCCTTCGGTGTATAAGACAACCCTACAGCGTATAAGACAACCCTACAGTGTATAAGACAACCCTACAGTGTATAATACCACCCTACAGTGTATAAGACAACCCTACAGTGTATAGGACAACCATACCGTGTATAAGACAGCCCTGCAGTGTATAAGACAACCCTACAGTGTATAGGACAATCCTACAGTGTATAAGACAACCCTACAGTGTATAAGACAACCCTACAGTGTATAAGACAACCCTGCAGTGTATAAGACAACCCTACAGTGTATAAGACAACCCTACAGTGTATAGGACAACCCTTCAGTGTATAAGACAATCATACAGTGTATAAGACAGGTTTCACTACGTAATACGTCAGAATTCCACCTACCAACGGTTTATGGCAGTAGGTCTAAACATGCAGCACCTCCATACATATTCACTGTTGTATAAGGCTCAAGTCTGTTTACGGCAGAAGGCTGTTAAATCTAGAAGGTTATATAAGACTGAAGTCTGTTAAAGAATAAAAAACGTTTGTATAAGGCGTTTGGCAATAAAAGGCAGATACACTATACATGTATCGAGAACAATGCTATAAAAGGCAGAAAAAGGCAGAAAAGGCCGCAAGCCTACACCGAACAAGTTGACATTATAAGACAGTAGACATACACAGTAAAAGTTGACATTATAAGACAGTAGACATACACAGTAAAAGTTGACATTATAAGACAGTAAACATACACCGAACAAGTTGACATTACAAGACAGTAGACCTACACCGTACAGGTTGACATTATAAGACAGTAGACATACACCGAACAAGTTGACATTACAAGACAGTAGACCTACACAGTAAAAGTTGACATTATAAGACAGTAGACATACACCGAACAAGTTGACATTACAAGACAGTAGACCTACACCGTACAAGTTGACATGATAAGACAGTAGACATACACAGTACAAGTTGACATTGTAAGACAGTAGACCTACATCGTACAAGTTGACATTATAAGACCGTAGACCTACACAGTACAAGTTGACATTACAAGACAGTAGACCTACACCGTACACGTTGACATGATAAGACAGTAGACATACACAGTACAAGTATACATTATAAGACAGTAGACCTACACAGTACAAGCATACATTAAAAGACAGTAGACCTACACAGTACAGGTTGACATTATAACACAGTAGACGTAAACAGTACAGGTTGACATTATAAGACAGTAGACCTACACAGTACAGGTTGGCATTATAAGACAGTAGACCTACACAGTACAAGTATACATTATAAGACAGTAGTCCTACACAGTACAGGTTGACATTATTAGACAGAAGACCTACACAGTACAGGTTGACATTATTAGACAGAAGACCTACACAGTACAGGTTGACATTATAAGACAGTAGACCTACATCGTACAAGTTGACATTATACGACAGTAGGGTTAGACTACTTATAGTACGTACAAGGCAGTTGTTAGGTTACACACACCCCAGATCAGGGTATCGATACTGATCACACTGCTACTATCTAACAAAGGCGTAGATTGACGGGAATTTAAATGTCGAAATAAATCTACATACAACTTCGGTGACTTGTAATGTGTATAATTTCTTATACTGGGGTCATGTATATTATCTATTTGTAGTTTTATAAAATGATATTACCAAATTCAAATCTATCTATTTAACGTATGGTCTTAATAGTTTGCTTTTCGAGCATGAACATTGCAGGGGAAGATTAGATAGGCAGTAAATATGAGTAAACGGTAATAATTTTAACAATTAAACAGACTGCAAGTTCACGATTAATTCTATTGTTCTGTAACTCAGTATTGTCACATGACAATAATGGTGTTATGATAACGACGTTGATTTTCCATATCTCCGACATCAGGTGTGAGATTCTCGTCACGATATATATGGAAACCATGGGTGATCTCTTATCTTGTTTATGTGTAAATATGTATGATTCAATCTTTTGTAAGTAATTATATACGTACATCGGTACGACAACGGTATCATAGCCACCGTCATTAAATGATGACAGGTTACAGAGATTATGTTAGTCACGGGTAGAGACTCCGTGGAATTCTGGGTAATTTAGACCGTTTTTCTCATGGTGTTCACGAAAACGTCACCTTAGATTGAATATTTCTCATTTTAATGTTCTTTTCAATATAAATATTGGTACGTAGTCTGAAGTTAAAGTCATACCAAGATAAATGTCCCTGTTTTTATACCAGTGTTGTAGGGCGATAAGTTGTATCCTCCTGTGATGTTAAATCGACAGCATAAATAAAAAAAAAAATGGATCACTTACATTTACAATGCGATCAGCAGTCTGGAATAAAAGCGTTTTGTCTTTATTAAAATGTGTCTTTATTAAAAATTTGTCTTATGAAGATATTCAATAAATTCACGTGTCCAATATTTATATATGTTTAAGTTTATACAGAACGCATCCTCGCAAATAAACTTTAAAAGGTAGAAAGGATATGTTTACTTTGATAAACAAATTGGTATGTGTTTAAAGTTTAGTTCATGAAATAGTGCGTTTATCATAATCTTAAATGGTTGTGTCAGAATTAAATAGTCAAAACAACTGTTGGTTAATAAAACCTCTTTTAAAGCTTTCTCAATATTAACTTTTACTAAAGACTAGACAGATAAAGGGATAATACTGTAGACCAGGACATTTTCGCTGCGGTTATATTTTCGCCTTTTCGCCCGCCGTAAAGAGGGTGAAATTATCGGCGAACATTAGTAAACAACAAAGAATGTACAGTAATTAAATGTAAAGCGCGATGTTCTTACTGGGGGAATATGGATTATTCTGGCGAAGGGCGAAGGTTTGACATATTATCATTGGTAAACAGGCATGCTTGGCGTATCACTTATTGTATCAAAACCACATAGTAGTAGGCCTAACAACTGGTAAATCGAATACTGAATTATTGGTCTGGAAAATGCGTTTCCTTTTTCTTTAGTCGGGGGTTGTCAAAAAATGAATTTGTCTTTTAAGTTTGGCGTCAACTTCCAATAAGTGTAAGGCTACAAAAGGGTTGATTTGAAATTCAGATGGTTCACGGGAATATAAAAGAATGCAAAACTGAACGAATGAACAATGTTCCTGCATTCAAATGTCACTGTTGTGTTCAATTAATGTCCACTTTGTGGAGTCGATGTGTATTGCGTGGGAGCAGAAATACATCCTATACTATTGATTCCTCTCGCGCTCCAGCTGATAAGTAGAGATTACCTGTGGTGTTAAGATCGATACATTCCTCAGATACCCCTCTCCCCTTTTACCTCCCGCAAGTCGACGGCGGTACATGACAGACACGAGAGTAGGTCCCTGATCTTAATAGTAATAAGTCGGGGAATTTATCACCGAGATTTTAATATTAAGTACACAGAGTCTGACTCGTTCCTTGGAATGCTTCTCCAGGTCTTGGTCACACATCTCTGCGAACTGTCTTCGTTTTGCTATTTTTGTTATTGGCTGCATTGCTCTACAACTATGCTGCCACCAACGGCGTCAACAGAAACGTATCAGTAGGATCGCAATACGACAAACACGTTTTACATTTGGGATAGCACACTGAAAGAAAGAATATGATGACGTCAAGTAACAATAAATCATGACGCCACAATCAACTTTCGACCGAAGGGGTCAATTGCAAATCGGATAACAAATGTATTCCAATTTATTATTGATAGGACGGGAGAAAAAGAATTGTCCCCTTCGTTGAAGGTATGCTAGAGAAATCTCAACCCTCGGCTAAGATTCTTGAATGTCTAATTCTCGGCTTGGAGCAAGCCCCCTATTAGATAATCAAGAACCTTTCCTTCTGTTTGACGTCTCATATTTTCCTGTTGTTGTTCCCCCTTTTGTTTTGGTGTCGCATCAGTTCCTGTTGTTGTCTTTCCTTTTGTTTTGGCGTCGCATCAGTTCCTGTTGTTATCTTTCCTTTTGTTTTGGTGTCTCCTCAGTCCCTGTTGTTGTCTTTCCTTTTGTTTTGGTGTCTCCTCAGTTCCTGTTGTTGTCTTTCCTATTGTTTTGGTGTCTCCTCCGTTCCTGTTTTTGTCTGTACAATCGAGTTGTATTACTGATATATGTTGCCTTTGTGTACATGTGTTGACGCTCTATGGTATATGTTGTCTTTGTGTACATGTGTTGACGCTCTATGGTAAATGTTGCCTTTGTGTACATGTATTGACGCTCTATGGTATATGTTGCCTTTGTGTACATGTGTTGACGCTCTATGGTATATGTTGCCTTTGTGGACATGTGTTGACGCTCTATGGCATATGTTGTCTTTGTGTACTTGTGTTGACGCTCTATGGTATAGGTGGCCGGTGTGTACATGTGTTGACGCTCTCTGGTATATGTTGCCTTTGTGTCCATGTGTTGACGCTCTATGGTAGATGTTGCCTTTGTGTACATGTATTGACGCTCTATGGTATATGTCGCCTTTGTGTACATGTGTTGACACTCTATGGTATATGTTGCCTTTGTGTACATGTGTCGACGCTCTATGGTATATTGAGTCTTGGTTAATTGACACTGTAGCATATAGTGTCATTTTGTTGACTCGTGCACTTTTGATAATTTGGCATACTGCAATTACAGCATATGTCATTTTACTGCATATTTACTAGTATGTAACCGGATTTAGAGATCAATTTCATTTTATAACAAAATCACCACATTTAGAGATTTCGTTTGGTAATTAACATACCACTAGTCATTTTTCATTGTATAGTATAACTTATCATAACCAGTAAATACTTTCCACATTTTTTCTCTCTCTATGATATAACACTTTCCATTAAAAAACGGTATTTAAAGATTATTACAATTATGTAGTAGAGACTTACTAGTAAATTATCACCACATTTAGAGATTTCGTTTGGTATGTATATATATAAAAAAAACACAAACGAGCAAGTTACCGGATTTAGAGATTTTTTGTATAGAGCAAACACATCATTTGTCTGATTATTTCACCAGACGAGGTAAGAGGAGACACAAGGTACAAATGAAACAGTGATGTTTATTTCAAGGCTACCAATTGTATACATGCTACGTGTTAACTTAGGACCATTACTCAGGAGAAACGACGCCGTGTTCCGTTACAATTTAAAATACCAATACAGAGTATCAGTCCTGGCGCTTGTTATCAATCATAGTTTTTATTTAAATATCAAACATGCTACCAATATCCGGATCAGCTTTTGTTTGTCAAAATGGAGAACTCTTTACACCAATGTGTGAAACGGTGTTTGAAAAAAATGAACCTATGCCCAACATGAACTGATTTCCTGAGTAAGCCGTACGACACAATCTGAGTGCGTAATCCCCGCAGCCCTGTATTAATCTGTGTGTGTATGGAGTAAATACTGCCCACTGATATATAGGAAGGGATTTAATAATCACACGGGCTATTTACCCCACTGTATACTTCACTACAGACCTTTTATCAAACCAAACAATGGAAATGAATAGGTGTAACTAGCGATATCAAAATCTTAATCCGTTAACGCCGACAATTAATATTGACACATTTCTCTCCTTATATTTTTTCAGACTCCTAACAGAGGAGAGGAACACAATCCCAGTCGAGAGACAGTCGTTAGCGAGTTAAGGATCCAGATACTATAAATATGTTGCTAAAGCGAGCAGAAACCACAGTTTCTTGAAAGCAAACGGCTTGGAATATACAATAATTCGGATATGGAAAAAGTTTAACGCAAGACTTGGATTCCAGTGATCTTTGACCTGTGGCTGGTGGAAAAAGTTTAACGCAAGACTTGGATTCCAGTGATATTTGACCTGTGGCTGGACCAGGCTGTACAATAATTCGGATATGGAAAAAGTTTAACGCAAGACTTGGATTCCAGTGATATATGACCTGTGGCTGGTGGAAAAAGTTTAACGCAAGACTTGAACTCCAGTGATATTTGACCTGTGGCTGGACCAGGCTGTACTCAGTGGGACAGTTCTTGATTCGTGTGTTAGACGGTGGGGGGCGGTAAAGTGGCGACAGTGCCGGGTGTGATGGTAGTTGTACTGATTACACTATACGGCCGAGTATCTACTGATTGGCCGGCCATTGATCACCATTCCACCTCCGCTTACACCAAGTTGTGATCAAACATCCCGGACGTTAATTTATGGAGAATAGCTTACCGACGAGCTGATTTGTAAATGTTTGTCCATTTGGTCAAACAAATGTTTTAATAGACCACTAAACGTAAATCAAACAAACTGGACGGTCGCGATAATACGTGTTTAAAGGCCGCACGCGATAATGTATACCCACTCGGGGTTGTTGTTGATGGTAAGCATTACAGTAACTCAATGTGTATTAGAATGAACATGCTTAAGTCACATACTTGAGCTTCATAACGTTATTGTTGAGACCCCATCGTGGAGACAATCAGCGTTACAGTGATAGATGGCATTAAGTGTACCAACGATGTGAATACCGGTCGATGCTATATATGAATAACCTTTAATAAAATGGGACCATTTCACGATCAAAGTCAGATAATGGAATTTGCAGACGAGTCCATAGCTGGGTCGTCCCTCAGAGGCAGTCCGAATATGTTTGAGGAAGAACAGTTGAGATTAGAATCCGCTTTTTCAGAGTTCGGCCTTTGTGAAGAGGATACTGACGAGGGTCGGTTGTCTCGTGCCCTGCAGTCTTGGATGCCTGACTACGAATTCTCGAGCATCAAACCGCTGGAGAAACCTCCAATTCAACCGATATACAGCGGCCGTCTCGGTGAACACAAACACCTGAAGCGGTCCTCAAGCGAGGACTCCATTGTAACTAAACTTTCCTTGTTTTCTTGCTCTACGGGCCAGGACCTCGAGGAGGAGGTAGCAACTATTCGCAAGAAAAGGAGGAAAAGGAAGGGAGCCTCTGCTGTGAAGGAAGCGGATGGCCTTACATGGGGGAAGCTTGAAGAGCTGAATAGACATAAGAGAGGGGCTTTTGCAAGTTTAATGAAGGCTCAGAACGCCATAGCGATTGACACGTTTACAGGAGAAATGGCGGAGGAGGGAGCTATACAGAAACTGATGGACCCAGTGGAAAAGGCTGCAATGGCTCGCGTAGGCATCACAAAAGGGATTCACCTCACATCTGATCTCAAGAAAAGTGGAAGTATGACAAATATTGACGAGTCTGGTAAACCAATGGTCCTGTCGTCGTTTAAGGCAAAAGCTACCAGAGTTGCATCCGCGGGTTCGAAACCAGCAAGTAGAGCTATCAATCTTGAGGAAATACGACAACAGCGTGCAAATGAAAAACTAGCTCAGTTACAAAAGGCGAGAACTAAGCGACAGCAAGCTCTAAGGAAGCGCGTTTCTATCGGTAACATTCAAAGGAAGATGTCTTTGGCATCAGACGTTAGCTCTGACTTTGCTCCTAACACACCGTCGGCCCGGTCATTATCACCGGAACCGGAAGAAAGGGTCTCCGTCTGGAAAGGAGACCGAGAAATTCTTGAAATGGATTTGCGCAAGGGATTAACAGGTCGCGCGACCATCAGGATAAAAAGCACAACGGCAGCCCTAGAGCGTGTCACGGGTTTTGGGGAGGAAAATGATTTCCAACGCACAGTTGGAAGGCATGAAGAGTTCCCATTCCATATAATAGACGACTACGGATTACATCCAAAAATTGTGCAGAGGATTCGTATTTCTCCTCAGCTCAGTAACGTCATACAGACTGATATAAAAGTGAGAATGGGTCGGCCGAGATATCACGAGATTCGGGTCAGGGACATGGATATTTGGAACCGGGGTCAGAAACTTGACCGAGGTCACACCAACCTCAAGGTTTTCAACTGGCTACACAGTCTTCGCGAGGATCTCTTTGAGAAGGACACGGAGTGCGTGGTGAACGATACATTGCCCTCTCGACATGAAAACCTGGGAATTCTCCACGTGGAGTCAGCGGACGAACCGGATGTTAAACCGCTGTATCTTAAATCATTTAGATAATGACATGTTTTAATCTAATTATGTTTTAATATTGTTGGTTTAACAATTAACGTTAGATATTGATGTGTGTATTATTTATTTTTGAAATATGTGATTATGATATTTTATTCTTATTTGTTGGTTTTATAAAAAAAACATCCCTGATTTATTTAATATGCGTTTGATTTTGCAAACTGACAAAGTTCCATTTTTCTAATTGCTGATTTCATGAAATCCCGAAAGAAATTGAATCTGTATATGAGATGAAAAACAGTTACCGTGAAGGTTTTGTTTTAGTTCTGATATATTTATATCAACATGTAATTTGTTTTGATTTGACGAAACGATTAGGGGAAGCCCTATTGTATTATTATATAGGCGGTTTTCTACCGTCGCAAATTATTTCGATTGGCCAATCAAATTGCGTGTTACATCTCCCAAAAATAATCACAGGGTTGTATTATGACAAGGTCGTCACAGGGTAACTTATGTAGGGGTTATTGTTTGACATCGTGATATCAATTGGTAACATATGAAGGGGTTATTGTATGACAAGATCGTCACAGGGTAACATATGTAGGGGTTATTGTTTGACAAGATCGTCACAGGGTAACATATGTAGGGGTTATTGTTTGACAAGATCGTCACAGGGTAACATATGTAGGGGTTATTGTTTGACAAGATCGTCACAGGGTAACATATGTAGGGGTTATTGTTTGACAAGATCGTCACAGGGTAACATATGTAGGGGTTATTGTTTGACAAGATCGTCACAGGGTAACATATGTAGGGGTTATTGTTTGAAATCGTCATGTCACAGGGCAACATATGTTTGGGCTATTGTTTGACATCGTGATATCACAGGACAACATGTGAAGGGGTTATTGTTTGACATCGGGATGTCACCATAGGGAAGCATATGTAGGGGTTACTGTATAACGTAATCACAGGGTAACATTTTTGGGTATCGTTTTAATGGAAAGGCAACAAAATCAATCAACTGGTATGTAATTACATATCGTCCGTATTGACGTTTTGCTTGTTATAACAGCTGGTCTTTTATTACAATTAATTGCATTTTATTTGCTATAACAGTCGGTATGTTATTTCATTTTGTTATATTATAACAGTCGGTATGTTATAACACTTTATTTGCTATAACAGTCGGTATGTAATTGCGTTACATTATATTTGTTATAACAGCCGGTATGTAATTACGTTACATTATATTTGCTATAACAGTCGGTATGTTATTTCATTTTGTTTGCTATAACAGTCGGTATTTTATTTTATTTTATTTGCTATAACAGCCGGTATGTAATTACCTTACATTATATTTGCTATAACAGTCGGTATGTAATTACGTTACATTATATTTGCTATAACAGTCGGTATGTAAGGTAATTACATACCGACTTTTATAGCAAACAAAATATAATTACATACCGGCTTTTATAGCAAACAAAATAAAATAACATACCGACTGTTATATTGGCTATAACAGCAGATATGTTATACCATTTCATTTGCTATAACAGTCGGTATTTTATTTTATTTTATTTGCTATACCAGCCGGTATGTAGTTACCTTACATTATATTTGTTATTACAGCCGGTATGTTATAACATTTTATTTGATATAACAGTCGGTATGTCATTTCATTTTGTTTGCTATAACAGGCGGTATTTTATTTTATTTTATTTGCTATGACAGCCGGTATGTAATTACGTTACATTATATTAGCTATAACAGTCGGTATGTAATTACCTTACATTATATTTGTTATAACAGCAGATATGTTATACCATTTTATTTGCTATAACAGTCGGTATGTAATTACCTTACATTATATTTGTTATAACAGCCGGTATGTTATAACATTTTGTTTGCTATAACAGTCGGTATGTAATTACCTTACATTATATTTGTTATAACAGCCGGTATGTTATAACATTTTATTTGCTATAACAGCTGGTATGTTACTACATTGTGTTTGCTATAACAGTCGATATGTAATTACATTCTGTTTGCTATAACAGCCAGTATGTAATTACAGTTTATTTGCTATAACAGCCGGTATGTTATAACATTGTGTTTTTATAACAGTCGGTATGTAAGTACATTCTGTTTGCTATAAAAGCCGGTATGTAATTATATTTTGTTTGCCATAAAAGCCGGTATATAATTATATTTTGTTTGCCATAAAAGCCAGTATATAATTATATTTTGTTTGCTATCAGAGCCGGCATGCAATAACATCTAATTACATTCTGTTTGCTATACAGCCGTAATGTGATTAATTTTGTCCAATTTGCCAAATAATCTGATTAACAGTTTAGCTCTAAAAAGGGGTTGATTTCTGACACCAAAAAATCAGATTCCTCAGAATAATAGATGACGTTGTGAAGTTATATATTTCACGAGTACATTATAGATTAATGTATAAGTCGACGAATGTCATATATAAGACCAATATAGTATAATTATTTTCATCAAACTAATGTTTTGTAAGCGCCATCATTGACTTGTGCGTGGCGTAGAAGTGTTGTTTAATATACATGGTAGGGTAAAATGCTATTATTTATATGTTGATATCAGTTGTGACCTTCAGCCATGGTTACGCTGGATGCTATGGTGTGTGATACGTGTATGTCTTTCATCCAATATTTCTGTGATATCTAAACAAACAAATAAAATTATCTATTGAATGTGTTGTTTATCGTGTATATCTTCTTCATCGTGGTGAGTAGTAGCAGTGTAATGTTTATGTAAAAACACAGCTTATAGGAAAATCTCCGTACAAACCTCACGGAAATAACAGGTGGGCTATTTCTTGGAATCTTGGAATTTTATGTCACCGTTCATTATACATTATACATGTATACAACACCGAAATATCATTACTATTTATGTTATACTACAACGTTGTTTGCAATCAACACCGAAACAAAAGGTGGGCTATTGTAGCACTGTATATTATACATATATACGACACTTCAAGACTATCTAGTATACTATTTATTGTATTTAAACAACATTTAAACAATAGGTTAGATATTTTATCGTTGTTTCTTAAGTTATATTAAACTGAACCAGTAGGTAAATGTAAGTCATTATTTCATTGTTTCTTAAAAATTATACTTCATTGAAACAATTTGATATATAAGAGATCATGACTTTGTTTCTTAAGTTATATAACATTGAAACAATATATAAATTATGTATTATATTATTATTTCTTAAACATTAATGTATCCGATTGATTTTTATGTTTTAAATTATGGAGGAATCAATAAAAAGGTATATGACAGGCTAATACATAAAACATGACCGATGTTCATGAAACAAGAAAGATAACTCTGACTTAATTTCACGTTTGCGGAACTCAAAACTCAAAAATCTATTTAATACCTGTAGTTCAAGCTGTACTGTAGGGACCGGGTTGGAAATGCAACTTAGTGTTTATTTTGGTAGTATTTGACAAAGGGTATGTATATATTTTATGCATGGATCAAAAGTTAAAAATGTTGTAATTTACAGGATACATTTATTCATTCCACCATTTTGTCTTTCGTTCATTTTTATTTCATTAATTTATACAATCATTTATTCATTTTTTTTCTCTCATTCACTCATATATTTGATCATCCTCACTTCCATTCTTTTTTGTAAATTATTCTTTTATTGATTAATTTTTTCATTCACACATTCACACATTCATTCATTCACACATTCACACATTCATTCATTCATTCATTCATTCATTCATTCATTCACATATTCACACATTCACACATTCACACATTCATTCATTCATTCATTCATTCATTCATTCACACATTCATTCACACATTCACACATTCATTCACACATTCATTCATTCACACATTCATTCATTCACACATTCATTCACACATTCATTCACACATTCACACATTCATTCATTCATTCACACATTCATTCATTCATTCATTCATTCATTCATTCATTCATTCATTCATTCGTTCATTCACACATTCATTCATTCATTCACACATTCATTCATTTATTCATTCACACATTCATTCATTCATTCATTCATTCATTCATTCATTCACACATTCATTCACACATTCACACATTCATTCATTCACACATTCATTCATTCATTTATTCGTTCATTCATTCATTCATTCATTCACACATTCACACATTTATTCATTCATTCATTCATTTACACATTCATTCATTCATTCATTCATTTTTTCATTCACACATTCATTCATTCACATATTCACACATTCATTCATTCATTCATTCATTCATACATTCATTCATTTATTCACACATTCATTCTTTAACACATTCACTCACACATTCATTCATTCATTCACACATTCATTCATTCATTCACACATTCATTCATTCATTCATTCATTCATTTCATTTCATTGATACATTCAGTTATTTATTTGGCTTTATTCAATAAATCTTATTGATTTTAGTGTATACCAATATAAAGACTTTCTTTCATTTATCAAAATCTTACCTCGGTGTGTTAACAATTTTTTATGATTTTTCAATAAATGGTCGGAGACAGGGCCGCTTATTTTATAAGATAAGAATACTTGTCTCCTAAGAGTGTTTCACTTCATATTAACATGTAATTTTCACCAATCTACATTCTGCATTTCTGAATGTATTGTATAACTGCCCAATATCCTATATGTAGTGAAACAGGAAAATATATCAGCGGAATATGATTGTCTAAAAAGAGCTAGGAGAACTAATAGCATACACAAATGGAGAGAGGTGATTGAATGAAAATGAAGATGTAGGATATAGAAAAATAAACCCCTTGGCCAACTTACACTATACCATAGCGCTGTTGGTCTACAGATCTACATAGCAACCCTTGAAGAAGTACTTAAGTCTCTTCTGCTTGACCAACGACATCTGCCATAATCCGAGTTATATCATTTTTCAAAGAAAAAGCAGAAACTACAAGAAACACTGGTTAATATAATTAAAAATGTTCGTATCGCACAAGGAAATGAAATATTTACCCATGAACTCTCAAATAGGATAAATAGAGGATATATAACAGTGTCTTTAGTAATACCAAATATATTTCACGAGTGTGGCTAATATTTTGATATCTTTCACGAATGAGCATCTAGTGAAAATTTAAAATTTAATAAAACATCAATTTTCCATTAACATTTCTTTTAGGTAAGAAATCAGTGAACGTGTTCAGTTTCCAATAATCATTAGAAATGTCGAGAAATGAAACACCTCTATTGGAAATGCATCTGCCTTATACTTATTTGATCTCTTAATTTCACAAATGTCTTTACAAACAACCACGTATCATGTGGTCTCCCATTTCTTTGGATGAAGTACTTTCCAACTTTATAAAAGACTGACTCCAAATAGATATGAATGATGTTTTGTATTAATGTGGCAGAATCGATTCGACGTGCTTTGTTTTCTAATTATTAATTATATCAGTGATATTACTGACAATAATCCTCTGTACGCTATCCTTGACTTCCAACAAAAAACTAACAAATCTAATAAATTTCACGTTTGAAAACAATGCCCTCACGTTATCATACATCATTTTTACTTTATAGCATGACCTTTAAAAATATCTGTAGTAGTAAAATGTAGTAGTAGTTGTTAATAAAGTTTCCTGCCACTACTCGGCAAGTTGGTTAGAACGCCATTTCTCGACATCACACGAGTGACCTCCCTTTAACTATGTTTTCTGTATATCGGAAAAAAGGTCCTGTGTCGGAAAAATAAACTTAACTTATATAAATGTATATCCAGTCCAATAATAAATAACAACAACATACAAAGTATGCCTCTCTGTCTATGCAATAACAACCACAAGTCATTGGTTCAATTGACTTTTCAATTTTTTGCAAACTCGGTCACCATCAGTGTCATAAAAACAAAATTGTTCTAGAAACAATTATATTTCAATTCTAATCTATCAAGACGTTCACAGCTTGACAGAATTCGGTTACCAAGGACACTGGGAGTTCATCAAAACATTGATTACCTGGTGAAAATTGAAGGTCATGCTAACAACTCAACGGGGTTGAGAATGCACATGGAAGATGTTACTCTTCCAAAAACACAAGTGATGTAGATTCTTAAATATATCTAAATACTATTACAGTGCTATTACGTGACGTCATAGTTTATGACGTCATAATTTCTCTGTCAAATTAACAGTCTCAGTAAACTCCTTGATGAGATGAAAGCGCTAATGACATGTTGTTGAGATATTATCTTTTTATATTACATATACAATGTTTATATTAAGATAGAAAAAAGTATTAATAAAAAGCAGATAGACAGACAGAAAGACAGAAGAATCGAAACCGATTTTGTAAATTAT